GGACTAGAACTCCCCGTCTCCTGGTGATTGGCCCAAAGTCACCCAGCCGGATTTCATGCCTAAGGCGGGACTAGAACTCTCCGTCTCCTAGGGATTGGCCCAAAGTCACCCAGCTGCCTTTCATGCCTAAGGCGGGACTAGAACTCCCCGTCTCCTGGTGATTGGCTGAAAGTCCCACAACCGTCTTTCAGGCTTGAAGCGGGATTCAAACTCTCTCCCAAGGTGGTGGATTACTACAAAGAGGCCTGCCGGGCTTTGGAGAACTCTGACACGGCCTCCCTGCTGGGAAAAATCCAGAAGGACTGGAAGAAACTGGTGCAGATGAAGATATATTATTTTGCCGCCGTGGCCCATGTGAGTATTTAGTATTTATAGCTTATCTTGTGTGTAATATAATATAATATAATATAATATATTATAAATATGAGTATATTATAAATATGAGTATCGAGACTCCCCATTGGCTGCATCTCCTCAGATAACTTCGTACTTTTGCAACATCTAAAGCAGGGTTTTCCAGTCTGAGGTGTGGGTGGACTTCAACTCTCAGACTCCCCAGGCAGCATGCTTGAAGAGGGGAGGACTTCAGCTCCCAGAATTCAGGATTTTGGGGGATACACTTAAGATGTCTTCCTTTTCTGCTTTTTTCCTTCCTTTCTCCTTCCCCCTTCCCTCTTTCTTCTGCTTTTTTCCTTTCTTCCTCCCCTTTTGGTTTCTTCCTTTCTCCCTCCCTCCTTTTTTCTGCTTCCTTTTTTTCTTCCTCCTCCCTCCCTCCTTCCCTCTTCACTTTCCTTCCTTCCCCTCCTTCCCTCTCCCTTGTCCTCTTTCCCCTTCTTTCCCTCTTTTTTCTTCCTTTTTTCCTTTCTTCCTCCTTTCCTTTCCTTCCTTTTTTCCCGCTCTCCCTCCCTCTCTCTTGCTTCCCTTTCCCCCCTTCCTTCTTCCCTCCCTCCCTCCTTTCTCTTTCCCACTCCTTCCCCTTTTTCCTTCTCCCTCCCTTCCCACAGCTACACATGGGAAAACAGGCAGAGGAGCAGCAGAAGTACGGCGAGAGGGTAAGTTGGTTGGTACCTTCCCCAAAATCTGATCTCTTGGGCTGGTGGATTGGGTCTCCGGACTTGGATTGACAGCCCCAGTGGGCAGGTCCTTCAACCCTATTTGCCATAGAACTGGTGGGGAACCGTCAATCACGGCTTATTCCAGGCCCAAACCATCACAGTGTGAACGAGAACCAGGTTAGATCTAGGGGAGGTCCTCAGTGTACAACGGTTTGCTTAGAGATGGCTTGAAGTCACAACGCCACTGCCATAGGTCTTGGATCTTCTTTCCGGCAGGCCCCCTGAGCAAAGAGACACCCCCCAAAAAAAACCTGGCTTGAGAAAACAAGTGCAATTTTGGGGTAAAGCAGCCGATTGAATCTCTGGTCCCTTTGCAGGTCACCTACTTCCAGAGCGCCCTGGATAAGCTCAACGAAGCCATCCGGTTGGCCAAGGTAAGACTTCATTCATCCTGTCCTCCTCTCACCCCTCCATTGACTTTTTTTGTGGGGGTTTCAATAGCCAAAGGTGTGAGGTACAAATCAAGCCTTTTAGGGTCACAATGTGGAAAAGGCTTGCTCCGTAGGGAGGCTGGATGTACCGTATTTCCGCAAAAATAAGATCCTGTCTTTTATTTTTTTAATGTGTGTGTGTGTGTTTGCCACCAAAAAGGGCACCAGGTCATACTTTCGGGAGTTTATCATCCACTGACTAACCTCAATTGTGCACGTCGCCCCCGGCCCCCTTCCGGAACTCTTTCTGACAGCCGGCAAGGCCTTCAGTCATTGGCTTCAAAAACTGAGCTCTGGGTTGATCCGGAGCCGCAGGGGCCTTCAGGAGAGCCTTGCTGGCTGCAGAAGAAATGGGCCGGCCAGGCAGGTGTGCAAGGCCTGGCTACACCTGTCCAAAGGTAAAGTAGTAGGGCAGCTCCACCCACCCTCTAACCCCCCCCCCCCCAGCTTAATTTTTACATGCCCGCTGTGGAGAAGGCGGGATTGTAATTAAGGCTTATGGGGGGGGTAGGTCTTATATTGGGCACCCTTGTAAAAAAAAAATCAAGCTAGGACTTACTTTCAGGGTAGACCGTATTTTGCGGGGAAATGGGATATACCTATTTTTTCTTGCCTAGAATTGTAGACGTCACTAAAGTCGTCCTTAAGATTTTCCAGGAGAAAGTATGATATCCAGGGGTGGCCATGATGGGCGTGGCCTACCGGAACTTCGTTTTTCACCTTCCCAAAGGCCCGGAGGCTTCCCTTGCGCGTCTGGGAGGACAGAAACAGCCCCCCTCCCCGGGCTCTGGAGGCCCTCCGGGAACAGGCTTTTTTGCCCCTCCCAGAGCCTCCGTGCGGACCCTACACTTACCGGCATCGAAAAATGGGCCATGGAGACTCCTGGAAGGGGCGGTTTGGGGTAGGCAGGGCCAGCCTGTCAGTTCAAATAAGGGTTTGGCGAACCAGATGCAAGTTTAACATCCGGTTTGCCCGAACCGGTCTGAATCGGTCGAATCTCACTTTATATTTCTCTATCTGATCTAACATTATAATCTATCCATTATCTATCTGTCTGTCTGTCTGTCTATCTATCTATCTATCTATCTATCTATCTATCTATCTATCTATCT